CACTTGCATTTTGCAATTGCGTCTTTGCTTGCTTCAAGAAGTCATTGCAAGGAGTCATTGGGAGTCATCGCAACAATTCATGGCAAGCAGCCATTGCAAGGAGTCATTGCAAGGATTCATTCATTGCAAGGAGCGAGTCATTGCAAGCAAGGAGTCATGAGAGCCATTGCAAGTTGCAAGCCCAAGTGCATGGTCAAGTGCAAGCCGCAAAAGTTAAGTGCAAGTTGCAAGTGCGTGATTCAAGACCTTTATTTTTCTTATTTTTTGGCATTTCTGACGCAGACGGGTTGGGAAAGGCGGCCGATCCAGTGTCTTCAGCCAAAACCCGACCCGGGAAGCTCGTCCACAAAATGCGCCGCGCAGGAACTGAACTTTGTGGTCACGACCGACCTGGACAGCCGTACGGAATCCTTGAACACAGACCCAAATTCCAAATTACACGCAGCCATTTCATAGAACCAAGAAATATAAAGCCAAGTTACGTAGAACTAAGGTAGACAAAAAAGTGACATGGAACCAAATGATATAAAGCGGAAAATAGAGAGCGAGAGCATTTAGATAAGATATGGAATCAAGCGAAAACTTGTTTCAAGTTATATAGAGCCAGCATTGAGCAAAGACAATACTCTGCCGCCAGTTGCTCCATGCCAGCGGCTTGTACGTGCTTTGTGCTTTGAGCAAATTGGTCTGCTGTGCAGCTTTGCGCATATGCTCTGTAAGCGTTTTCACGTTGCGGGAACTCTGACAAAAGTTGTTAAAAACCGGGGCCGCGAAGAGGCAGGATTATGCCGAAACAAAAAGCCGGGACAAGTATAGCCGCTTGCCGCAAGCAGAAATACGACCTTGAAGCCAAACTGGTTTAAGAAATTTCCCAACAACAATATGAAAGGGAAAAAAAACAAGAAACACCGAAACCATAGAACAAAAAAATACACAGAAAAAACAAAAGAAAACGAGAAAGAGAAAGAAAGAGAAATAGAGAGAGAGAAAGAGGGAAGAACAATGATAGTGAAGCAAAAACGAAAACACAGACACGACAAAATAAGGAAGCAAGGGGAATTTGAAAGGGGGAGATGCCGACACGCGGCAATGCGGATGTGGTATCTTTATGCACCGAGCCGCAAATAATCGTAAATCAACACAACTAAAGACAGAAATAAATAAAGAAAATGGCAAAAAAGGAAAAGAAATAGAGACAAACAACAAATGCATACTTATAAAGACAACCAGAGACAAACCAAGAGACAGAGAAGCGCAAACACCAAAAAAACATACACAAAGATACGCAAAGATAGACAAAAAATACGATACAAAATATGGAACATATTCGGGGACACAAAAAGAGGCAAGAATACAAAGCGACACAAAATCTTTAAGAAATTTCGACTTAAACAAATACCCCAAATTTCCGCGAAATTTGGCCCGGCTATTTTTTTCGGTCAGCCGCCAAATGCTGCAGAAATTTGCGGGGGTAACATCCGGAAATCTAAGAGCTAGGTCGTCGGAAGCGACCCAAAATTCGGGAAATTTGTCCGGGTTATGCCACGGAAAAGCAAAATTGAAAAGAAGGGCCGCGCGAAGTGGCGGGAGCTTGTGCCGCTGAAAAAAACCGAGACACTTATAGCCGTTGCCGCACTACGATTCGGCCGGCCGAAACACCGGTTAGCGGTACGCGAGAAATATAACATTCATATCGGTTTATAGGAAAATTTCCATCAATGGCAATACCAACAAAAATTCAAAAGAAATAGAAATAAAGAAAAATAATAAAACAACAAAAATATAAACAAAAATAAAAATCACATAATTAAGATATAAAAAACAAAAAAATAAAAGGAAAAAAACAGTAAGGGACAAAAAAAGAGAAATAACAAGATAACATAGAGCAAAAAAGGAAAAAAAAGAAACGACACAACAAGGAAAAAGAGAGAGAAAGAAAGAGAAAAAGAGAGAGAAAGAACGAGAGAGAAGAGAAAAGAAAGGGAAAGAGAAAAAAATAGTAGAAGAGCGAATAAAAAAGAGAAACAAAAAGGAAAAGAAAGAGAAAAAAAAAGAGAAAAAGAGAGACCCATTGCAACAATACTTGGTACTAGCAGAGATATTCCCAAGGCTACCTGTAGCTTCCCCATTTTTCTGCGAGAGAGAGAGAAAAAAAGAGAAGAGAGAGAAAGAGAGAAATAAAAGAAAAATAAAAAAAGAGAGTAAGAGAAAAGAAAAAGAAAAAGAAAAAGAGAAAGAGGGAGGTAAGCAAGCAAGCAAGCAAGAACAATAATAACAACAATTAATAACGAAAAACAAGATAGAACGAAAAGAAGAAAACGGAGTTTAAAGTAGAGATGCGGCACGCGGCAACGTGGAAATGTGCCATCTTTGTGCACCGACCCGTAGAACAAGCATAGAAAGATAAAGAAATAAAGCTAAAGACAGATATAGTCGCTTCCGGCGACACAGCTCTTAAATTTCCGGACGTTACCCCCACAAATGTCCGCAGATTTTAGCGGCTTTCCGAAAAAAATGCCGGACCAAATTTCGGGACTTATCCGAATCGAAAAATTTCTGAAAAAAATCGTGCCGGGTGTCTCCGTATCCTTGTCTCTTTTTTTATGTCTCCTAGTCTGTTTCCGTGTGTCTGTATCTATCTGTTTCATAAATTCTGTTTTTCTCTGCGTATCTTTGTGCATCTTTGTGTGTCCGAATCTGTTTCTTTTTGGTGTTTGCGCCTCTCTGTCTCAATTTGTCTGTCTGTGTCTCTGTCTTTGTTTGTCTCTATGTTCGTGTTTGTCGTTCGTCTCTATTTCTCTATGTCTTTTTGTGTTTCTCTGTCTATTTCTATGTATCCGTATCTATCTATTTGGCAATATGTATCTTAAAATTCGGGAAAATTTGGCCGGGTTACACCTTGGGAACTCTAAGCAAAATTATTCAGAACCCGGAGCCTTCCGGGCCACACGAAGAAGCAGGAATTTGTGCCGCGGAAAAAAGACCAAGACAAGTATAATCGCTTACCACAAACATTACAATTCGGCCGGAACACCGTTGCAACGGCTTGACAATGCACGAGAAATACGACCTCCATATCGGTTTATAGGATAATTTCCATCAATAACAATACCAATAAAAAAAACAAAAAGAAATAGGAAACAAAAAAAAAACAAAATAATAAAAACACAAAACAAAACAAAACAAAACACAGATTAAAACAAAAAAAACAAAAAAAGGAAAAAAAAACAATGAAGACAACAAAAACAAACAACCAACACCAACATAGAGCAAAAAAGAAAAAAGAGAAAGAAAGCAAAGAGAAAAGGAAAAAGAGAAACAAAGAAAGAGAGAGAGAGAATGAAAAAGAAAGAGAAAAAAAAAGAAAGAAAAAGAAAGAGAAAAAAAGAAAAAAAAAAAAGAAAACAAGAGAAAAAAAAAGGACCTATTGGCAGCAACAATTACTGCTATCGGAGATGCCCCAAGGTAGAGGCAATGGCTTCCCAAGTATGCCTCCGGCCCCATTTATCTTTTCAGAAAAAGAAAAAGAAAGAAAAAAAGAAAGAAAAAGGAAAAAAAGAAAAACAAACAAAACAAAAAAAACGAAAAAAAAAAAAAAAAAACACAAATAAACAACCAAAAAGAATAATAACAACAATCAAAAACGAAAAGAAAAACAGAATAAAAAGAAAAAAACGGCTTAAAAAAAGGAGGTACGGCATACGGCAACGCGGAAATATGCCATCTTTGTAAATCGATCCATAAAAACAAATATAAACAAATATAAACAAATAAAAAAATAAAAACAAAAATATATATAAACAAACATTACCAAACAAAATCCAAAACAACCCAAAAAACAGCAAACCCCAACAAAAAAATAAAAACAGAGAAACACAAACGCCAAAAAGAAACAAATTAAGATACACAATAACACACAAAAATAGACAAAAAAAATAATACTAAAACAAATAAATACAAACACACGGAAACAGACTAAGAAATACAAAAAGAGACAAGGATACGAAAACACCCGGCACGAAATTTTTAAAAAAAATCGATTCGAACAAATCGCCAAATTTCCTCGAAATTCAAAACAAAATTAAAAAAAAAGCCCCCCGAAAATTTAGGACCTTCCAAGCCGCACGAAAAAGCAAGAGCTTATGCCACGGAGAAAAGACCGATTAAGCATAACCGCTTATCGCAAACACTACGATTCGGCCGGAGCACCGCTAAAACGGCTAAGCAATACACGGAAAATACAATCTCGAAGTCGCACCGATTTATAAGAGAATATGTATATATATATATATCTAATATTTCTTTTAAAATCTAATTCATTACAATACCATATGCATTCCAGGATTATTTCTTTTAAACATATTTTTCTAAATATCTTCCATTTTTTAAAACCAAAACATATAAATTATAAACGAATCAATCCAACAAACATTTTTAAATTCATATTTCCAAATTTTTACTATTACATTCCTTACTCAAACATTATTATTTTAAACGAGTTTTGGGTCAAAGAAGGCAGACCTAATTCGAATAATTATAAAACAAAATAAGTCGGTATTCGAATGCCCAAATGGCTTAGATGTGGGGCTCCATAAATTTTGATCCAAGTGAGTCTGTATGCAACTGGAGAAAAACGGGGTTAGGGGATGGGTGGGTTGCAACGAGTGACAGCCTCTCACATTCATGTTTGCCTGCTAGGGAGGGCGGTTGGTCGTGCTCGAAAATGGCCCCGCTCACTCACAAGCGTATGCGCAACACGCAGCAAACTGTGACGGGCGCAAGTCGGCTGCGTGAAATCTATCTGCGCGTGCTGCGCAATGGCTCGGCCAGCAGGACTTCGCCCAAACCTTGCCGTGCCCAACCACAGGTGTGGCGCTACACTGAGCACGCTGCCGCCTTAGACCTTGTGTGCAACTAGGCAAAGTAAAGAACCCAACAAAACAGCTTAGTTGTATAGTCTATGCGTGATGCATATATCACTCCGTCGAAAATATGTTGAAGCGCCGCGAACTGACAGTTGGCATCTGAAGCGGCGCAAGGTCGACCTTCCGACACTGGAAAGTGCATCGTGCGCTCAGCGTCGGGGTGCTTCACTTGCCTGCCTGCTGACAAGAGAGCAGGAAACTAAAACAAGAATGCCGGCCTGCGGCCCTGATCAAAAAGCCGTGCCGAGCGACAGTCGCCTGCTGCTTAGCGCGATTGCGCGCCACCCTGTCCACAGCATCACAGGCCTCGAGAACCGTTCTCAAGCGGCCAAAACGTTCTGCGACTTGCTTCTCCAAGCTAAACGGCGCCTTTTAGGCGGCAGTTTAGGTGAAACTTTGGGGCGCGTGGCAGACTCAGCAGAATGGCCCCCAATCACGAAGCAAGGCTGCAGGTTGCGCGTCAGCCTCGATGCACTACACTAAGCACACACTGATCCGGTAAAACTGTTGGGCTTGCGTGCTTGCAAAAGCAAACTTGCACCGCTGCTGATACAAATTTTAGTAGTGGCGGCGGCAGCGGGAGCTGCGAGACTCAGCGGCATGTCTGAAAACAGCAATAGCGTGTAGCAATGCAAACCATGGCAGCATGAAGTTTTTCAATCAAACACATCCCCAAAACAGTTGGCTGCGGCAGGCTGCGGCGCCTGCAGAGACGGGAAACCCGTGTTGCACCAACCTTGGAGTGCAGAAAGCGCTACAAGCGTCACTCAAACAATATGTTCCTTCGGGCTGCCTTTGTGCGGCAAACAACTATCTTCTGCCTACAGCTTTTGCCTGGAACTTCTCGCGGCGCCATGGATGTTGTGTCTTATTCGCGTCACGCTGCGTTAGTTTGCCCGTTTAGCACAGTGTCAAAAGTGACAGACATCTTGGCAACAGGCCGCTCCTTGAGCCATCAGTTCCCCCAATATTTTTGTCACGGATCGAGCCCTGGTTGAGAGAAAGAAGGAATGGAGAAAGGGAGAGAGAAATGACCCGCGAAGCGAAGGGAATGAACGCTCTTCCCCTTGTCTGTTCTCTCCGCTCCATCCAAGTCCTTTCTGAGCGGTTAATAGGTGGGGAAGAGAGATATAGATGGGAAAGCGAGGTGACGAGAGGCTTCCCATCCCTTCATTCCTATCCAATTCTCGGAGACACGAAGAGACGAGGAGAATGGTAAAGAGGAATGAAGAGAGATGGAGTGAAGAGAGAAGCGATGAACGGTTAACCCACATGCCTTCATCCTGGTCCATCTCTTCGCTTCGCTTGTCTGTCGATGGAGGAGGAGTGAAAGGACGAGACAAAGAGACAGCAAATGGAGAGTGATGAGGGAAGACATGACCGAGGGAACGACCTGACGTGAGAACCATTCATTCCCTATCTCTTCCCTAAGGATCGAGAGTGGAGATACTGGGGAGTGAAAGATAGGGAGGAAATGGGTTGGCAGTCACTGTCTTTTCCTTTGTCAAATCCTAAGTGACTTCATGTGTGTACGAAGGGACCAGATGAAAGAGACGCCATAAGACCTTCCTTCCCATCTCTTGGTCAGGTCTTGGCTATCATCCTTCCCTCCGTCTCCCCTCCGTCGCCGGTGGTGGAAGGTGGGAGATGGAATGACACAGAGGCCGGAGGACGGTGTAAGGCCTGATATTAATGCCAAAAAGAGAAATAGATAACTGTCTTTCCTGTCGGTTCCCTCTCTCTTTCATGCTTCACTTTCCATTTCCATTCTCTCCAGCGACTCACAGAGAAGCAAAGGAGAAATGGGAGAGAAATGGGAAAGTGAAGGCCTGGATCAGCCATTAGAATCATTTGCTTGGTCTATAGATGGGTCTTATCTTCATCCCATGACCAAGCCTCAGGAATAATACAAAATAACCAAAAAGAAAACCAATTAATAGTAAACAAACAAGATATAGAAAGGACAGAGATTAATAGATGTAAAAGGGATGTAATAGCGTTTCTCTTCCTCTTGTCTTATCGTTTACTCTGGAACCGCCAATGAAGGCGAGAGAAGGTCGTGAACTTACCTAAGAACATGAAATCCAAATAAAAATATGAAAAGAAATAAAAGATGAAAAAGGAAAAGATTAATAGCTGAGATTAAAGGGTTGGAATGTAAGGCTTAGAATAATTGCTTTTCTTTTTCTTGTCTCTCAGCTGTCATTATCTTTACATTCATCACACATTAACTCCAAGAATAACTTACAGGGACTTAGAGATAAGAAATCCAACAACATAAAGTGGTGAAACGAATGGAGGGAGAACACAGATAAAAGCATTCTATCTCCTACAAATTAACTCCAATGGCTGGGTAAGGTGGAAGGACGTGAAGGATGATGACGAAGGAAGCCTTCCAATTCACTCCTCCATCTCCCATCTATCACTTTCACTCCCTTTCTCTTCATGCCTTCTCTCTTCTCTGAGCTAATAAGCACCTACATCAAAGGCTTGGGATAGGATAGTGACGTAGGAACGGTTAAGGAATCTGGGGTCGCTCTCTTCTATCGCTTCTCCGCGTCTTATCTCCCTTCGTTCGTGGACACGGCAGAGAGAAGAGAGGGAAGGGAATGTGTACTCGCTCTCCAGTTCACTCCCTAACCGTTTCATGCCTCCCTCGCTCATCTGGTGTTCATGTGGGAAGTGATTGGTTGGCGGTTGAAGACACGCCTCCCATCACACACCCACATCCATCTCACCTCTATCCATGCTATATCTCCCACTGGTCGCTATAACCTGTCTACGAGACTTTGGATTTTGTTTGTAGGTGAGTTCATGACCTTCCCGAACGGGTAAACGATAGAAAAGACGAGGGAAAGAAATATGCAATGTGTCTGTAACGTTTTTTTTGGCGCAGAACGATGCGTGCCGCTGCAAGGTAACTGCTCGCCTAGAACTCCATGTGATACAAAAGTGCCGCGAGTGCCATGCAAATAAGCACAAACCTTGCCAAAAAACTGCGCTCACCACGACAACCCGAACGTTGAGCCTTGCCAGCCGTGGGATTTCGCGCGCCAAAGTGCGTCGATTGCACAGCAGGTGCGGCAGAAACACATGCGAGCAAGCGATGGCACGCGGCCGCCACAAGCGCTGTGCCTGTGCAGCACATCAACACGCCGACATGTCAAGCACTTCTCAAGTCATTCCCAAGCGATGAGTCGTCGCTGCCCCACAGCTCGGCAACCTTTTCCGACGGTGAAAACGGCCCTTAGCCCCCACTCAAAAACTCGGGAAACAGGTGCGGCGTGCGTGCAGGATTGGCAAGGAGTGAGTGGCAGCTAGCATACAACTCTCCTGAGGATTGTCTTGTTTTTCAAAAGCTTGGTTTGAAGAAAAACCAGCGAGCAGTCGCCACAACGGCAGACAGGGTGTTTGCCAGCAGCAATGCTAAAGTAGAACTTTCGAGCTAGCGCGACAACAAAAAAGACTAACCTCCTATGACTTACAAAGGGCTGCGCGTGCCAGGAAATTTGTTCCCGAGAAACACCACGGTCTGCCCTCTTTTTTTTACAGGTATTGTATCATATTTACATGTGCGGGCGATGTGCGGGCAATCGCGCAAGTGCTGCGCTGTGTAAAGTGTTTGCGCTGTCGCAGCTTTGCCCAGAAGCAGGACGCAAGAAGAACGTTGAATCTAATGGTTCACCAGCGGAAGAATCATTCCAGTGGCTGCCAGAAGTAGCAGTGAGTCGTGGTTTGAAGCGCAGGCAAAGGTTTTCAGCCACGATCCTGATCATCATAATCAGCCGCGGTTTGTGCTGCCAAGACCTGATTAGTCACAGGTTGTGGCGAGTAGCGGCTCGCAAGTGGTGGCGGGCTGAGGGGTCAACAAAAATGATTCAGGATAAACGAAACACAAAAAGTAGGAGTAGAGGTTGTAGTGGCAGTGCTAGTAGTATGAGTAGTAGTAGTAGTAGTAGTAGTAGTAGTAGTAGTAGTAGTAGTAGTAGTAGTAGTAGTAGTAGTAGTCGTAAGTAATGGTAGTGGTAGTGGTAGTAGTAGTAGTAGCAGTAGCAGTAGAAGCAGAAGTAGTAGGAGTAGTAGTAGTAGTAGTGGTCGTGGAAGTAAATCAGCACGCACTAGTAGTAGTGTGTAGTAAATCAGAAACTGGGTGTGAAACCACACGCGCGCATCAAGCCTAACGGCCAGTCGGGGGTGACACATGAGTACCTACTGACTCAGGTTGAGCGTTACTTCGCTTTGCGAACGACCGCCTTTGGCTGAAGCCTTAGCTGCCAAATGCCTTGCGAGGCTTCGCGAAGAGCATCGCGATCTATTGTGCCTTTGTTCAGGCCATCCGCCACCATGTCCCTGGTGTCCAACCAGGCAAGACTTGCCACCTACTTCTCCAGCATGTGGATGAAAGCCGACGAGTCCGTCGGCGTCTTCACCTCCACCGATGCCATACTGTCCTGCACGGACTTCGCATCTCGGGCTGCCATCAACTGCAGCGCGTTCGTGCCCTCCTCGTGGATCTCTTCTTCTGCCGCCCGTGGAGCACCTCCTTGAACTTCAGATTGATGTTGAGAGCGTGCCCAAGCAAATCCAACAAGCTGAACATGTACGTGCTTCTGCAAACGCGCTTCTGCTTCTTGGCCACGAAATCCACCAGTTGGCAATGGTTGGTGCCAACCTGAATGCCGGACTTGTTCATCAGCAGGACCAAACCACTTCTCATGGTAAGGCAATCAACGCCATCCGACTTGTAGGCGTTGTCCGACACTGCCACTAGGCTCTATGGAGATTCCAACCGCCTGATCCGCATGCTGAGCGGCTTCGTATCTCAAAAACGCGGTGTGTGTTCAAGATGTCGCGCGCACATGGGTCCTGCAGCTTCCTCTGAAGGCTGGCCACATATGCCGCAACGTCCGGCAGCTGATCGAACTCTTTGTTCAACATGGCGAGCAGCGCATCGACCTCATCGGGCTTGCCTGTCATCTTGAGATCGTCAATGTGGACCGACAAAAGAATCAGAAGTTCTCCAGCCGAATTGTGCTTCACGTGCAGCTGGGGGTCAATTCTTGCCGGAAGCACGCCGGCGCCAGAAAGCACTCTGGACAAGGCAAGGCTCCACATTCTCGGTGCACCCTTGAGCGCAAATCCAGGCTTCAAAAATTCAAGTCCTTCGCATTGACTGTCGAAGTCCTCCATCCCACTGGAATGGTTCGAATCAACTCATCACATCCTTCTGGAAGTGCAATTTCCGCATCTCTGTGCCAGCGCCACCATCGAACAGCTCCTTGAAGGTGAGGCCCCTGTGAGGAATGCCTTGCTCATCAGCTGACACCAACCGCCATCTGAACTGCACCGCAATGATGGCCACCAACCTCTGGCCCCAACGACTTGTCGTGGCCGAGTAGTTGCAGGTTTGTTGAGCATCCTTCAAGCCCTGCGCCACCATGCGTGCCTTGATAGTTCGCTTGCCTGACACGTCTTTCCACTTGAGCACCCGTTTAGACGTCAACAAATTGTTGCACTTGCTTCTGGGCATTCTCCTCCACGCGCCGTGCTTGTGCCACCGAGCAAGCTCTTGAACCATCGCCTCACGGCAAGCATCCACTTCATGTAGCGCTTCTTCACGAGTGATGATGTTATTCACACGCTCGATGACTGCGAACCATGTCTTGTTCATGTCGAGCGGAAGACCAGCTCCTCTCTGTCATGCAATTGCACAGGCTTTGCACACTGCTTGGTGGA